TGCCTTTCGATTTGTTTGAAAACCAAAAGAAGCGTAATAATATTAAATTGTACGTACGCCGTGTCTTTATCATGGACAACTGCGAAGATCTCATTCCCGAATATTTGAATTTCATCAAAGGTGTTGTTGATTCTGAGGATTTGCCATTGAACATTTCTCGTGAAATGTTGCAGCAAAATAAAGTCCTAAAAGTTATTCGTAAGAATCTCGTTAAGAAAACCATGGAACTAATTGAGGAACTTGCTGAAGATAAGGAGCTTTACAAAAAGTTTTATAATCAATTCAATAAAAACCTCAAATTAGGTGTTCACGAAGATAGTAGCAATCGTGCCAAAATAGCCGATTTCTTACGCTTCCACACCTCGGCTTCTGGCGATGAGTTCTGTTCACTAGCTGATTATGTGTCACGTATGCAGGATATTCAAAAATATATCTACTTCATCACTGGTGAATCCAAAGAACAAGTGGCTGATTCGGCTTTCGTTGAACGAGTTAAAGCGCGTGGTTTTGAGGTAGTATACATGACCGACCCAATTGATGAGTATATAATCCAGCATTTGAAAGAATATAAGGGCAAGCAGTTGGTGTCTGTAACCAAAGAAGGCTTGGAATTACCAGAGAATGAAGCTGAAAAGAAGAAACGTGAAGAAGATAAAGCTAGATTGGAAAATTTGTGCAAGCTTATGAAATCGATACTTGACAGCAAGATAGACAAAGTCACTGTGTCAAATCGTTTAGTTGAATCGCCATGCTGTATTGTCACCTCTCAATACGGCTGGTCAGCCAATATGGAACGTATTATGAAAGCCCAGGCTTTGCGTGATACCTCTACCATGGGCTACATGTCTGGCAAGAAGCATTTAGAAATCAATCCTGATCATCCCATTATCGAGATATTACGACAAAAAGCTGAAATCGATAAAAATGATAAAGCTGTGAAAGATTTGGTCATTTTGTTGTTCGAAACTTCTCTACTGTCATCTGGCTTCTCCCTGCAAAGCCCTCAAACCCATGCCAGCCGCATTTATCGTATGATAAAGCTTGGCCTTGGCATTGACGACGATGAACCAATAGCTACTGAAGATGCTCAAAGTGTCGGTGATTCTCCGCCGTTAATGGATGACACTGAGGACGCATCCCATATGGAGGAAGTTGATTAAATTCTTTATTCGATGGAAATAAAATTCGAAAAAAACTACAATTTCTTGCTTTTCCTTTTGCGCTTCTTTTACTAAAACCTGTTTACTACTAACAATATTTTTGAGAGTCTGTTGATAGAGAAGTTTTTTTACTATTTCTATAAGTTTTATCCCCTTAGCACTCTGCCCTCTGTTCTTACGTCGTGCAGCGATGGAGACTTGGACGGATCTAGATAGTTTGCCGCCGAGAACACTTATGAAGTAACTCCTCTTTTGTGACTGACAAAGACTATAGAAGAAGAGGCGATTAGACAGAGAGCATTTTCTATTGCTCAAGAGTACATACGGGTCTTAAAAGCCCCGGAACGCAACATTTGTACCCTGTTTTCATATCAACTTACTATTATGGAACTATATATTAAAAATTAGACCACTTTGCAAATAAAGGCTTACTTTCCGCAAGAATGGTTGCGACCAAGAGCTTCAAAAATTGAGGCGCATGTTCAAAATTCACCACAGTTAATTGTTGTTTAGTGTAGTTTATTTTTTTTTATTAAATTACTATGTTTTGATTTTCATCATGAAGAATTGAAAGTTAGAACTTTTTGTCATATGAACTTAAGTTTTCGTTATTTGAGCGGGTTTAAAAAATTGCCCCATCTGGCCCGAAGTGTTCGCGCCGATTTAGAATGTCGAATACTATTATTTGACACTTTTACAGAAAAATTTCGAAAGTTTGTCGAAAAAGTGGGCCGATCCAAACCAATTTCAATAGCTTTCGTCCTTGGGTCAAAACACGTCCTTGGGTAAATTGAATGCAAGTTCACGTGGACGGACATACAGGCTTAGGTCAATTAGGAAAATGATCCTGAATCGACCGGTATAATAAGAAGGGTCCATCTTAAGTTCTTCTGCGTGTCATATACGTCCGCACAAACGTAATAGGCACTGTACCACCTGCGTAGGGTATAAAAAATACTTATTCGATTAACCGAAAAATAATTTCCTCCTTATCTTCTTAAGTATGAGAGCTTGCTGGCAGTACGTATGTATCTCTTAATACCACATAGTTGTGGTTACACGATGGAGAAATTTACACTTGCGGCAGGTGTGTACATATGCATCAGTCATAACACTCATAGCAAGAAGTTTATAAAAGAAAAGAAATATCTAAAGTACATTTGAATTCATTTAAAAGTTTTCTACTCTTGTTAATTGTTTTGTAAACCAGACTGAGTTTCTGTGAATACATGTTTCTTGAAAACTTTCGTTATATGCATAAATGTTTTATTGCCTTGATGCTCGTATGTTAAAGTGCCAGCTTTTGATGATGTACTGTCTTCGAAGCACAATGTGTTAGGCATATACACGTGGTTAGGCAGTAATATTTTAGTAGGAGGTGGTATTTTTACTTTACGAAATGAGTTTTGATAAAATATTTTTATTGGCTTAAAGTGGTAAGTGTCATATGAGACGATGAAGAGACGACAAATTTAAGAGTCTGTATTTCGAACGATTCTTCGCGGCGCGAAAAGTTTTATCTAATAGTATTTCGACGTTCTAGATTAATATGGAAAATTTGGTTTGGATGGGCAAATTTTTTGAAGTCCTCTCATATAACCGTTCTTACGAAAACTAAATCTTTGTATGGTAAAAAGGATTATTTTCCAATATATCATAACAGTAGTGATAAAGAAATCAAAGTTACCGGATTTGGAAATAGTGTGTAACTTTTGATGTGTGATTACCGAAACGAGCGGATAATTGCACCAGGTCAAGTGGTATGCAGTATTTAATCGTCGGCCTTGCCCGGTGTTAATGTCATAACTTGTGTTTTCTTTATATTTTCTTAGCAATTTTTTTCAAATCCATATTTCATTATTTTTTGTGCATCAAACGTCCGCAGCTTCCTAAATCCAACTCTAATTTCGTAAATATCAAATTTTTATACTCATCACCAATGGATGGGGGTTTTGTCAAAACATTTGCAACGCCCAGAAGGAAGCATTAGAGACCCCACAAAGCACCTATATTCTTGATCAGAATCAGATTCTAAGTCAATTTAAGCATTTCCGCCTGTCCGCCTGTCCGTCTGTATAATGTCTGTTGCGAACATTCTCCTGGCCGCAAAAATGAAGCTATTAACTTCAGATTTGGCAGAAGCATTGAAAGTTCTTGCACCCATTTTGGTACTGAAGATAGGCCAAACGGGTCGAAGAACATGCCCACAGCACCACGTAAACTGAGAACACCTCTGTTTTTCCAACTAAATGAAAAATGGTTTTTTTTTGCTTATTTGCTCATAAACTACAGCAAGTATATGTACAAAAATATGTTCGCATATCCTGTGGGCGATGCTGTACCATTTGTGCATTAGAATAGAAAAAATTGACTATGCCTACCCAATATTATAGTGTACCAAAATTTAAATATTTTTCAAAACCCTTGGAAGGCGCAGACACAACTTTCAAAAACACCATAAAATACACACATTGTTGGCCAGTTACAACTCTCGTGTCTCATCATTTTGAAAGTAGGAAACATCAACTGCGCCCACTCCATATTATAGAGCATGCGAATTT